TATTTTGGATGCGATTAATCACGATAAATCGTTTGACAGCACTAAATTAAATATAATTAATATTATAAGTAATTAGAGTACAGTTAGATTTAATTTCTTCATGAATGTTAATTTCAGTAGTAAGTAGATTTTACTTCATAATAGTAAGCAAGCTGTATTTGATATTAGAGCAGTAAAATTGACTTAGAATGTGTTAGTGTAATTGTTACAAGGATTTTTTTCAAGTAAATCTTACAAGTTATAGGGTAATTCTTGGAAACTGTCAAAGGGAATACTGTACTCACAAAGTCTCAACAGCTGAGCTTTGACTGGCCAGTCTACACAAAGAAAGTCAAATTAGCTTTTTACATTCACCTGCATCTCCTAGGCTGGCTCCCAGCTGTTTCCTTTTATAACAATCGGCCAATTAATATTACCAGGGATGGGCTGCTCAAGAAACGTAGGATTAAGTCATTAGAAGGCCTGTGAATAAGAGGTATGGAGGCCTACGACATCTATTTTTATTCTGCATGAATTACATGACCTAATTTTTTATAGCCCAATATCAGAACTGTCACAAATGTGCCAGCTGATAAATGCATCTAGGGATACTCTGGCACAAATGTCAACTTCATACAATGTCTCTCATCATGATCAACACAATGGGGAATAAACATCATTACATAAAGCTCTTTGAAATGATGCTGATTAGCCTTACTGATTACCATTCAGAATAATTAAGCAAAACATTTTCAATGCTACAAAAGTTTTCGCAAAATTAGACAGACAAAATTAATTGGGTAAATTCCAACTTAACACACTGATTTTTCATAATTGCCCCAATGGTCAGGCAGTAATTGTTTGCTGCGCCAACCATAAAAGTAACTATTTCCAAATTAGTCCAATTAGCATGACAAAGACTGGACCCACTAGAGAAAAAATCAGCATGCTTCGGCTGGGATTGTGACTGGCACTGATACATCCAGACCTCTTCTCTTTCCAGACATGCAAGGAACGTTCATCGTCCTGCTGCCTCTCAGTGTGATCGTGCTGTTTATTGGAGGAATGCTGGGCTTCATCAGTATGTTGGCACGAGCCTACATGCTGCTCCTCCTGACCGGAGTGCTGCTTCTGTTCGGCGGTGAGCATCACCCTCGCTTTCACCTCTGATTGATCCTCATGTGCGGCATGAATATTTATTCGGCCCACGTCATGCTTAACAGAGCATCTGGAACTCTAGACAGTTTTGATAGTAATTAATAAGCTTCACAACAAAAAACAGATGGAAAAAA